GGGGTTAACTGGGTATTGCATTAATTATGGGTTTTGTCATCATTTTCATACTAAGATAAATATCTTTGTTGTTTTTTTTATTTGGCATTTAAAGACAAACCAATGGGATGTAAACAGCCTCCAAAATGAGGATGGTTGAGCTGTACATTTTAAATAAACTATCAGATTAATTATTAAAATATGACAAAATGTAAATGTTTTTGGGTTGTTTAAAAAAAACGTGCAAAAAATCTAATTCAGTTTAAGTTGTGTACAAACACCCATTCCTAGCTTGGCCACCACACCCAGTCCTTGCGGCCCAAATCTGGCCCATGGGCTGCCACTTGATCAGTGCTATACACAATTTGTAAGAAATGAACACATCTGCAATCATAAAAATAGAGCCTTATACAAGATAATTGGCACATTAGTCCAACAAGTGGTTCATAAATTGCTTTGAGATCCGTTTTGTGTGAAAAAAAAAAAAGGGTTTGATTTGTTTTGTCGCCAAAAGACTTTGAGTTTGTAAGGATGGTGAAGTCATGGTGGAAGCACAAAGAGAGCCAGAAAAAGAGCCATAATCTCCTAAATGACATCATACATTTGGCTTGGCAGCTGCTCCAACGAAATGGGAGGAGATTCTGCAGCCTAGAGCCACAAAGTAGCGTCTGTGTGTTATTGTCGACACAAATACAGAAGTGTGGGAAGCAAAATGTCTGCGTATCGTTTATTTTATGAGGAAAATTTATTTATTGAAAACAGGTTGAGCATGTAAAATGAGCGTCCTTCTCTAAACTAAAACATAGGAGAAGAAAACGACATCAGCCGGAGAGGAAATCAGCTTTTAAAACAATATTTCCTTTTAGCAATTAGAGGTTTATCTTGTAGAAATGCAAATCGCCCTCCCGTATTCAAGACAAAATCTCAAGATCCACTTATGTTGAGAAATGAAATAATGAATGATTTTGAGGTTTTGGTCAGTCTGTAAAGAAAAATCAAAAGTTTTGCACTTTTTTTGTGTCGTGAACGACTAACACCAAAAGGTCAACAACTGCAAAAATAACTGAACTACAGTCTTTTTAACCATTACTTTGTTGGTGTTTAATGAAAAGTTTGTCCACTTGTTCAATAGATTTATTATTAATGTCACAGAAAAACATGATGTCTCACTTTTGTCAGCAGATGTTGTTCCCTGAGGCAGAATTAAATTAGTTTGATGTAACATTTGAAGACAAACACACCACCTGTTGCACATTWAGTTGCCCAGAAAATTCAGATGAAAAGTCTATTTCTCCTCTTTTTTTGTGGATTTCTGAATGAAATAAATGCAATAATAAGAAAATGTCTTGGATGATTGTCCCTACATGAGCCATCTGTTATCTTTTTTTTAGTTTCCTGTTTCATGCAGTCATCTAAGACAAAAAGASAGCAGCTGTTAAAACTCACCTTTGTAAAGGAGATCAGTCTCTTCGCAGCAGCAGCTGTGTGTGTGTGTGTGTCTGGTTGAGGCAGCGCAGCTTTAAAAGACAGAGGGAGTTGCTCAGAAAAGAAGAAGGAAGAAAAAAAAAAGAAAAAGAAAACCGTGAGCCCAAGCCCTTGTAAATTCGAATAAACAATGACCTCAGCCAGGAATTTACAAGCTCATTGGCCCTCCGAGCAGAGCGCACATTTTTCAGGAAATCWGTCAGAAATTTCCTGCATCAAAGAGCAGAGACTCAATAATTACAAGCTTGTGTCCGAGGCAGGTCTGCTCTGCAGGAAGATGAGTTTATTATTTAATTATTATATCATGAAACACAGCAGAAAAGAAGAAAAGAGGACTGTTAACTTCTGTTCAGCTCTGATTCTCTCCTTCTTTGGTAAAAAGTGGAGGAATGACTCAACTCAAAGTAAATAGTCTGAAAATAATCAGCAATCTTAACCCATGATGGGAACMAATCTCAGGTTGAAAGTCCTGATCCAGTTGTGTAATACAGATGATTTATATTTACATCATCTATGAACTGGGAGCAAAGCGACGCCTCCACTCTGATAAAAATCTTACAGTTTTTAAAAYGTCAGAGTGAAATAAAAGGAGGAGCAGGAAGACCAGGAGGTCACTTGTGTTGTGTTAAAGTCTGTCAGGGTTACTCAAAGATCAACGACAAAAACAACAAAAAGCTTTTCTTACATTGAGCCTCCTTTTTTCTGCAACAAGCTTCTGTTCAAGCCTTACATGCAAGGTTTTTAAAGAAACCCCACTGTATTAAAAACAAAAACGTGAACACGTCATGTAGTTATACTAAATCATACCCATAACTGACATGCAATGTTTCGCTTAGATTAGCTTTTAGTTAGTTTGGCTAAATTTGGCTTATAGGAATGTTGTGCTAATTTTTTGCATATCAATGTTTTGCTCATTTTAGCCATTAGTTAGTTTGGCTAAATTTAGCTTATATTAGTGTTTTGCTAATTTTAGCTTTGAACTAGTTTGGCTAATTTTAGCTTATAGCAATATTTTGTTCATTTTAGCTCAATATTTTGCTAATTTTGGCTTTCAACAATGTTTTTCTCATTTATTAGTTAGTTTATCTAAATATAGCTTAGCAGTGTTTTACCAATTTTAACTTTGAACTAGTTTGGCTAATTTTAGCAACGTTTTACTAATTTTTGCATTTTGATAGTTTAGCTAATTTAAGTTTATATGTACTGTTTTGCAAATTTTAGCTTTTATTTACCATTTTTGATTTTAGGCTTTGTTCTCCTTTAGTTCTAGCAATTCTTTTTTCAACAAATTTAATTGCTCAGTCTTCAAACTCTCGYTTTTCATTTTTAGTCGCTTAGCTTCATTTTTCCAAATTAATTCTTTCAAAATCGAAACGGTTATCTTAAAGCTCTGCAGCTTAATGACTTTATTCCTTTCAATGCTTGTTGTGTGTGCTCACACCTCCTGCTATAATTACAAGGATTTAACGATTTAAAACTTATTCCTTCGATTTTCACAGAAAAGAAAAAAAAACTACCTCTGAAACTAATCCTGCTTACTGARGAGAGGATGATCTCTGTAACACAGTCCAGACATCCAATAAAGAGCGAACCGGATAAATGAGGAGACGATGACCGAGGCTTTAATCAAAAGCACRGGGCTTTTGTTTATTCCTTGCTGCACGCACACAGAACAGGTGAAGGTATATTTACACAGATGTAAACAGTCAGAACCTGCAACAAAAAGGAAAAGAGAGGGCTTAGTCTCTCTCTCTCTCTCTCACATATACAGACATACTTGCAGGCTTTAGGACACACAAACGTTTTCACACACACTGAGTTTGCCGTAGAAAGAGAGTGGAGTGTCTGAAAACACGACGGGCCTTTTTGTTCAGCGGCTTCAGATGAGATCACAAAGCTTCAAACAAGCCACCGTTCAGAGACAGAACACGTACTGGTGGGCCAGGGGGGGAAAACACAGACCGTTTAAGATTTTTAATATGTCTGTTAACAATGGCACACAATTCTGCTTAAATATATTTAACTGTTTTTCTTCCCCCCTAAGAGTTCACCATCGGAGATAAAATGATTCCTGCTCTGCAGACATCATGGCAACAGCATTCAAACAATGACTCTTTGCAAACAAAATGAACACAAAGTACCTGATCAGCAGTGGTGGGTAGCTAGCCAAAAATTAAGCTTCACTAATTCATAATCTATTTAAAAATATAGCTTCGCTAACGCTAAATGTGTAAAAAATAAAATAATAAACTGCGGAAGCTAGCACTACACTGCAAAAAACTGTCCATGTAACCAAGTTTTAAAATCTTATATCCAGCCAAAAAGTCTTTTTGATCTTGTTTTGAGACTGATTTACTAAACAAGAACTGATTGTGTAAGAATAATCATCTTGTTTTCAGAATGTGTAAGATTATTTGTCTTGTTAGCCTGAAAATTTGACTCAAATTAAGTAAAAATTTCTGCCAATGAAGTAAGAAAATTTTACTTGGTAAGATTCTTGAAATACTTGATTTGACTCAATTTTTTCTTATTTCAAGCATCTTACCAAGTAAAATTTTCTTACTCCATTGGTAGAAATTTTTGACTTAATTTGAGTCAAATTTTCAGACTAACAAGATGATTATTCTTACACAATCAGTTCTTGTTTAGTAAATCAGTCTCAAAACAAGATCAAAAATACATTTTGGCTGGATATAAGATTTTAAAACTTGGTTAGGTGGACATTTTTTGCAGTGTAACAATCGCTAACCACTAAAACAGCTGTCACTCAGTCTGCGTCACAGGTCTTCATCTTCTTTCAGCTGAAGACTGGTGGGACTGACACAAACCTGTTGATGTTGCCTTGCTAGTTAGCCGTTAGCGGCCTTAAAGTTGTCAAAACCCAATTTAACGGAAGCTAACACTCAAAGCTAATCGTTAACCGATAAAACAACTGTCACTCTGTCACACGCACTAGCRGAACAATCAGAGCCGAGCYGGTCCGGGGGCGTGCYGCCCCCCCAGCCCCCCCAGAAGCTCCRCCCCTGGTCACACATCTTCGTCTCCTTCGAGCTGAAGACTGGTGRCACAAACCTTAGCTGTTAGCAGACTKAAAAGTTGGCAAAACATAACTTAACRAAAGCTCATTTGTTCACTAACAKTTTTAAAAGTTAGTGAAAAAGATAATCCGCTAAAAKAAAAMATTGTGCTATTAGCTGATTAGCGGAACCAYGCCCACCACTGCTGAATAGATGGAAAAATGCCATGAAAGGGTTTGTTAACATCGTCACATATTTCTTTACTAAATAACAAACTCAGCGTCTACTGAACATGAACTAATCTGATATAATTTGACAGAAATGTGTCTTTTTTTTTTTATCTGCAACCTTCCAAAACATCAGGTAAATAATAAAAGCAGCTGTGAGATAAAATAAACATCGCAAAACTATAAAATAACATTCTCAATGCGTGCAAATAATTCATTTTTTAAACTTCATCTTTCTGCTCTTTAGGGAGTATTCTTAACACAAATAATAACAAAACAAGCTGCTGAAATGATAACAAGTAACATGGCGTCACCAGGTATGCCCGATTTTAAAAAAAAGAAAGAAAAAAGGGATTAAATTTGAAGTTCCTGCACAGCAGAAGATAACCTTGGAAGGAGAAGCAATATTTACAAGCCTGCTCTTCCTTCCACCTCTATCATCCATATTCTCACACAAACACACACCTCCTCCTTTTTCCTGTCTATTCATGCGTTCAGTCCTCTTGTTCTGCATGCACTCGCTTCTTGTCTTTGGCTCGAAAAGTGGCCAAAACACAMAAAAACATCTGTTGTGTTCAGCCAAATCACCAAACGTTTTCTGGCTCCTGTCTGAATAAACACGGCGTTGCCCTGGTGGCAACTTATCGACGCTTCCTGTTGAGATCAACAGCTGCAAAGTTCAGCTCAGAAAACCTTCCAATCTGCTGAACCGTACTTTAAATGTAACACCTAAATCTACGTACCCATAGAATATTATTATCTGTTTATTAACTTTATGCTTGTAAACTCKAAATGCTCGTTCTTGGGACTCCTGGTGTGAAAAACATAAGAGAATTCCAGCATTTTCACTGTTWGTTTTCACAATAATCTGCCACAGTACCAGTGCAAATATCTGCTCAGAACAAGACCAGGATCTAACACTTTAAATTATTATTATTATCTGAGGTTGCAACAGAATAATTATCAAGTCAACGCAAATTAAATTAGGATTAAAAATCAATGCAAGTTGAAACATCTGATGGGCGTTGTTTATTATGAGATTTTTACTAGCAGAACAAATTAATAATAATCAAAAAATAGTTGATAGATTAACGAGTATTGAAATAAAAATTGTTTTTCCATTTTGCTTATGACTTTTATCTTTCTGATTTGCGAAGACAACACTAAAAAACATCCTGTTTTTGTTTGCTAATGATAAAAAAGTAAGTTATTTTAGTGTCAAATGCAATTATTTTAGTTTTTTAATTATTGGAATGAGGATAATGTGATTTGTTTATTATACCTTTTATAAAAAATGTGTGGAGAAAAGCTGAACGGGTATGAAAAATGTGATTCAAAAATGCGTAGAAAACACTTCAAAGTCAGTTCTTGTGAAATGGCAGGACGCAGGATGGAAATGGCACAAATCGTTCTCACTTTATCTCCTGTGCTGTGAGCGGCGTCGGCGTCTAAAATAAGGTGTAAAGCCTTCCTCTGGGTCACAGTCTAAGGTCAGGACTTTCACGGGCAGACTGTTAAACACTGTTTACACACAGAGCAGCACAAACTGACAGCCTGCGCACACACACACAGGACACTGTTGTTTGTCTTACCTTTTTTTTTTTTACAAAGAAAAACAAAAGGGCCGCTCTGCTTCTTAATGATAATCCAGCTTTAGGGCTCACCGTGCTCAAAAACCTACAACTCTTAGGCACTTGGTAGAAACCTAACCTAACGTACAGCAGAGTTTTCCACTGGGTCAGCTCACCTCTGATGCTCAGAGGAAAGGCAGCAACATTCAAAGTCAGACCCAAAAACAAAACAAACACAAAAAAAAGCTCTTAACTTCAGCATGCATATACTGTACGTTGACAATTTAACTAGAGGTTGGTGCTTGCATTCACACACTAATACATGCTGCTAGAACTCTGCAAAATGCTACAATAAGAGATAAACTATGTAAAAAATAGCATCTGAATGCCGAAAACCCTGAAAATAAATATGATTAATACAGCTGATGGTCGATGCCAGACAGGAGTGGGGAAGTGAGCAGAAAGAGATGAGGTAGAGACAGCTGTTTGTGTGGGGGAAACACTGGACAAATGTGGCAGGAAAAACAGACTGGAGTGCAAAAAATAAATAAAAAATGGAATGAATGAGAGTCGGGTACTGGTCTTTTGCTCAGCGGCTGGGGTCGTTAAATAAGGTGATTTGTTTCGTCACATCCTCAAATGGTGATGGGAGTCTGTGAACGGCGGGTCGGAGTCGTCCATGGGCAGGACCAGGCGCGTCCCCCTCATCACCAGCTCGTGATCCCCGCAGGCCAGCTCTCGGTCCAGGTCGTCGGCGATGGCGCCGCCGCCGAAGCCCCCGCCGCTGCTGGTGTGGGCCCCCGTGGCGTCCGTGCTGACGGTGATGTCGCCGTAGGTCAGGTTGATGTCGCCGTCTGTCAGGATGAGGTCGGAGTCATCGTCCTTCAGCTGGCACTCGTTCTGGGGGGCGGAGTTTAAACGTGTCACAAGCAGGAAGTAACCGTAGTCCTTATTTATGTCTCTTATTAGGGACTCAACCACCAACAGGCCAATCCAATACGCAAAAAATCTTCATCAAAGACGAAGGTTTTTATTTTTTAAAAAATAAAAACTTTCGTCTTTGGTAAAGTTTTTATTGAATAAAAGAATAATTGTAAAAAAAAAACACTTCTGAAGACATTTTCATTTATTAGTTGTGCAATAATCAAAACTAATAAAACATGTCTACATTATGATGAACTGAGCCAAGCTCAAACCCTGCTGCCAGTGGCTCGTTATGGTCACAAGGGTAACCACACATCTGTATCTCTCACTCCCTGACTGCAAAGTTAATGACAGGCAGACTGAAAAGTAAGCCTCAAACAAACAGTCGCTGTGCAGAATATATAAAGAAGATCTCAAAGATTATTGAGCCATTAGAGGCAGAACACCCTGACGGTCACTCATGTGGATTTCAATGAGTTTACAGGGTTTTCTGTGGGAGACACAACAAGTTAAAATGATTGATTTTATATTTAGAATATGGTGTGTACTCTCTGCATTCTGGAGTGGATTTAATAAAAAGCAGTRTGACAAAGAAAGAAGAAAAAATCCCTACATTTTCATTTATAATTTGTTTACGTACCAAAAAAATGTTGTGGGAATTAGAAGAGCGAGTTTGCAAAGCTTTTGATTTTTGAAGATAGGATGTGACTTCATCAAATGCCAGTTAATAGGGAAAAAAAAAAATCCTAAAATCATCCAATTTAAAATGCGATTGTGCAAAAACTGTGGAAGATRTCAAAGTGCCAGGTCAGATATGTAAAGTTACACTTTGAGTGACCTGTTTAAATCTCGAATGATGTCTCTACTGTGAAGTATGTCTGAGGTGTAGATCTCCAAAGAGGGCGAGATTTTCTCATCYGTTCAGACAAAATCCCATTCATCACAAGTTAACATGCTGCTAAAAGTCATAGCACACTTTTTCTGACTGAGCAGCACTATTTGATAATTTGCATTTTTTATGACAACATACAGGACTTTTTAATAGAATGGTGATGAGCCCTTTTCTACAGTAGACAAAGTATTTTGTATTCTGTTAGTTATAGTTTTGTGGCACAAAATTTGAAACAGATAACGATAATTCAAAGCAGTAGAGAATTTGGAATAGGCCAACTAAACTGACTGGTGCATCTCTTAACAGCTAAGCTTCACAAATCCTTTTTTTCCTGTCTAATAAGATCAGCTTTAAAAACAATTTATTTAAAAAGTGGCTCCTGTATGAACCAGAATCTCACCTCAAAGGCCTGAGGGCTGGTCAGGAAGCGGGCGAGGGGGCCGCAGCACGGAGGCAGTGTGGTTGTGAGAGGGGGGCCGCTGTGGGTCAGGATGGGCTTCAGGTAGCTGGAGACTCGAGTTAAGGACAAACAGATTAGAACGCAAAATTAAAACAGTAAAAGAAGAATTAATCAACGTTAAAGTTGTTTATTAGGAGAATTCACTCTATGCATAAAACTGAATGTCCCTCATATCACAGAGACAACAGAGGAGATRATTTATCCTCAAGTCTACAAGTGGGGCTCCCCCTGCTGCCTGATGATAAAAATCAAGCTCGGCTCATGAACTGATACGAACAGAAGCTCCGACTTCACACAAGTTGACTGTAAAGCAGAGGCTCCCAAACTTTTTGTCTTCTGACCCACAAAATATCCATGACAAAAACT